GAGGAAATTAAGACAGAGAGGTTAAGTAAATTGACCAGAATCACAAAGCCAGTAAGTTTTTTGAGATTGAATTTGAACTCAGGACCTCCTGACTCCAGGGTCTAGAACTCTATCCACAGCGTGGCTTAGCTGCCCCAATAAAAGTTATTAATTAAACATCGACATATATCTCTTGAGCTCTCAAGTCAAATTGACAGAGCTGTATTGCCTCAATTCTGAGTATTCAGCTAGTTACGGGGAGCTTTACCTAGAGAACGTCAGCTTTAAAGTAATACTGAAAACAGCATGTAAATAAGTTAAAAAGAATAGATAGCTAGGATTTAAACATCTATCTTATTTGCTGAAAAGGGGAGCAGAGAAAATAAAAGGAACATCATTGTCTCAGATTCTCAGTCAGGGAAGTAAGTTCACTAATGAATAGGCTCCTATTTTGACACGGCACAGCTTTGCTATCCTCCTCAAAGGATGGAAATAACCACCTGCAAAGAGTAGGGATAGGCTTAACATTATTATCCTCTGCTTCTGTATCCATCTATTTATTTGTTGTGTTCTTTTTTTCAATATTTGCTCCTTCCACTCTTTCTCAGACCAGTTAAAAACTATTCAGGTCAGTATGAACGCCTCTCATTTTAAACTATGTTGTAGACCTGACTCCTGCTGTGTTGTGAAAACTAAAATGAGTAGGGTCCCTAGTGAAAGCCTGCTTGGTTATTATGGAGCAATTCATTCCCAGTCTAAAGAGACTGCTAATCTTTCTGCTCCAGGAAATGCTAATAAAGCCTTTATGATAAAAAAAATAGGTACAAATAACAAAATTAATTTCTCTCTGATATAAACAATGGAACAACATGAAGAGATTGTGAAGACCATGATAGGGGAATGGTTATAGCAATAAAGAGAAGGTCCTGATTCTAGAGTAGATGATGGCAGGAAGAGAGGGTTGAGAAAAACAATAGGTACAACTAGAGAAGAGAAATTAATTGATCAAAGAAGGCCCTGGGGAAGACTGCATTTTATTTTATTCATTTATTTCAATTCGTTTGTTCAATTATTATTATTTTATTCTGCCATTCCTAAGAGTAAGGCTGGCTCACTGTCCTGAGTAGGATACTGCCTCGGCTGGATACAAGTGGCAGGAACAGACTTAGTTATGGAGAAGTTTTGAGTTGGTTGTGTCTTCCTGAAGTAGAGAATAGAGAGGAAAAGTCTCGTTCAGGATGGATGAATTCTAATGGACAAGAGGTGAGTAATCAAGTCTGCTATTGGGGTATTAAAAACAAACAAAAACAAAGGAAAGGAAAAGTAAGAGAAATTAACACCTAATTTCAAACATCCCTAAAATGATTCATTTCAACATTACTTGGTCCCACAGAAAGTAATCAATTGACCTTCATTTTAGTAAACTCTTACAGCCATCCTAGACTATTTGTCTTATTTCTTCTTACTAAGCTGTCTGACTCTCAGGGCCACCAAGGATTTCTACTTTTAAGAGACTTTCTTAGACTAATTATAGTATATATATAGTACATATAGAAGCTGCTAACACCTGATCTTTCCATTACCCCATTTCTTCTGATTCATAAATTCTATAATGATGTTCAAAAAATCTTCCATGGGAACAGACTAAAATGGGTTGTGGTTTCCCTTTTGTACTCTGTCCTCTTCATACCATTCCTAGATGAAATGTTCAGTTGTAAGCACTTTAAGAAGGACCTTGATAAGCTAAAAGTGTCCAATGCATCCTTGACGGAAGTAGAACTTGAGACTAGTTGAATGACCTAGTGATGTTTAGCTTCAGTAACCCTGGCAGGCAGGGAAAGCAGGAATTGTCATCACCATTGAACAGATGAGGAAACCCAGGCTTCTGGTGGTAAATGGCTTCTTTCCCAAAAGACACACATCTATTGAGTTCTAGAGGCAATATTTCGACTCTAATCTTGCTGACTCTGGGTTCAACACTCTTTTGCGTTATGTTATCTCTTACTACTAAAAGAATCTATGTTGTGAGGTTTCTGAACATAACAGGACAAAGGAAGATACTTTAGGGGACAAGTAAGTTTCTAGTTAACAGAGCAGAATGGATAATTAATTATCTTAAGGGCTAGAACTACTAACTAAGGGCTAGGGTTTCTTTTATTATGAGAGAACCATATGGCCAAACATGAATGAACATCTGATTCATTCATTTTATCTGTCTACTCAATTGTGAATGAAAGGCAGTTGATAGCTTTGTTTGGATCCCCAGAAGTGCCTGTAAGGCTTTCCTAATTAAAAGGGTACTTATGTTCAATGATTTAAAAGGTCTAAGAATGAGTATAGAAAAAAAAAATTAAAAGCCCATATCTTTGGCAGCAGGAGTGACTACTTTTCTGGAAGGGCCATGCTGTTGATACATGTAGCCCTATTGAACTAACCAAATATGTATCAAATCAATTCTCATTTAATCAAGTCCCACCCCACCCTCTAGTTGGTTACTCTCATTGCCTCAAAGGTAGTACATCCTGGTTTCCTTATAATGCATCTTATAGTCTATGACACCCACTTTAATTCAAATGGGCCAAGGATTTCCTCATCTTTAAGCTATCTTGACTTGTAGATTCACCAAGTTTACTTAAAGTGTTTTCTTTAAAGCAATAAATGGCCTCTTGCTCAACATTTATCTTCCCATTCTCCTTAAGCCTAATACCCAAATGACCAACTTCTTTCATTGCCTATTCCTCTGGACTTCTGTTTATGATGTTTTATGTTTTCTCTGAGACCACAGAGAGCAAGGTTAGCTTCCTCAGAGGTTTCTATGTGCCAGGGCAAGGAGGAGGGAGTGGAGAGTAGTCTCTGTGATAAATTCTCCTGTTGAGGCTGAAAATGGCACTGGGTCTTCTCCAGCACCTGCCCTTTACCTCTGTGTACCTGTCTTAGTGGCTTCTAGCCTGGTGAGTGGTCTAGTTTTGATTAAAATTTCTTAAACCATTTGATTTCTTCAAGGTAAATGGAATGCCTATTTATATCCCTTCATGGGAGGCCTATTTATACTTATTTTTTTTTCTTAAACATCTAAGAACTTTTGTGGCTATTCAAAGGGTAGAATGGTGTTTGAAGTATTAAATTCCAGTGCATTCCATTTCTCTAAGGCCATGTGGACTTCTTTCTGAGATCTAAAGTCTTTGGAACAGAGCATTGCTCCACTTTTATCTCTCCCAGATGTCCCTTTCCTCATCACTGAGTCTTTATCAGCAGAGGTAAATGTGGAAAAGCTGATTTTCTGAGAAAAGTCTTTATAAGAGTTTCAGTGATACATTGGAGGATTTCCCGCATTCAGAGCTCCCTCTGTTCAGGAATCGTAATTCTACCTCCTCTGTATGTAGCCTATTTTTGATGCTGGCCCTATTTAAAGTCAATACATCTATAATTTTTTTTTCTCATTTCTATTTCTTTTTAACTCAATCCAAGCCAGACAAGCTAGATCTCTCTCTCTCTCTCTTTCTTCCCCCTTCTGAAAAAAATGCTTTCTTTCAGTCTGTTCATAATCATTTTAATCTATAATCCTCACAGTTCATATTCATCTTAATTCAACCATTCTAAAAATATTTTAATACACAGTGTAATTATAATGAGCATAAATTTGCTCACAAATTGAAAAAAAATGAGTTTAAGGGACGATCATAGAGTTAATTGGATGAGTCTGTAACAATTGTTCATAAAACAAGAGCAACTGAATGATTAGTAATGTAAACCTCAAAAGTGGGGAAACTAAGAAGGCCTGCATGAAAAAAAAAATAGTAACTAGAGAAACCTTACCCCTTGCATGAAAAATACTCAATTGCTGAATTCAGAGTAGGGCACTCCAAGATCATAACTGAATTGTCAGCCCGTCTTGGAGAGGCAGCTAAACCAGTGACAGGAAAAGCACCTAGAAAGGAAATAAAGAAGTGGACCTTGAGATAAACAAAAAATAGGGACATTGCTGGTCAAATGGCTACTTTGCAATTCTGAGAAGGTAAGTGGAATGTAACCAAGTGATTCCTCACCAGATTCCCATTCCCAGACCTTCTCTTGGGATTTGGGCATCTGTAACTTGGCATTGAAAGCCTTTCACCCTCTGGATGTAAGCCATCTTTCTGGTTCTATTTCAAGTCATTCCTTTTCACACATTCTATGTTACAACCAAACTGGACTCCTCACTCTTTCTTAAACCCAGTAATCCTTCCCCTACCTCTGTGCTTTTGTATATGCAGTTCTAAATTCTGTAAACTATCCTGAAATGCACTAGATCTACATTACATCTCAGGGGCCACCTTTTATGCCCCAAGATGTTAATTTTTCACTTCTCAAATTACATAGTATTTACTTCTCTGGGTAAATGTTGAATTCCCCCACTAGTATGTGACCTCCTTGGGGGCAAGAGAAGTCTTCCATCGTGTTTTTCTATTTCTTTTTTAAAGGTTCATTTATTTATTTTTAGTTTTTAACATTCACTTCCACAAGATTTTGAGTTCCAAATTTTCTCCCCATCCCAGGATTGCATGCGTTCTGAATACCACTTCCTCTAACTGCGCTTCCTTCTATCTCTCCTCCCCTTCTCTTATCCCCTTCCCCTTCAATTTTCTTGTAGGGCAGAATAGATTTCTATATCCCATTTCCTGTATATCTTATTTCCCAGTTGCATGTGAAAACAATTTTTTTAAACATTTGTTTTTAAAACTTTGGGTTCCAAATCTTCTCCCTTCCTCCCTATCTACCTCATTGAGAAGGCAAGCAACTCGATACAAAGTATACATGTGTAGTCATGCAAAACACTTCCATAGTAGTCATGTTGTGAAAAACTAAGTATATTTCCCTTAATCTTATCCCACCCCCCATTTATTCTATTCTCTCTTTTGACCCTGTCCCTCCTTAGAAGTGTTTGCTTCTGATTACCTCCTCCCCAAATCTGCCCTCCCCTCTATCATTCCCCTTCTCTCTTGTCCCCTTCCCTTCCTATTTTCCTGTGGGGTAAGATAGACAAAAATATGGAACACTTAACGAATTTGCTTGTCATCCTTATGCAGGGGCCATACTAATCTTATCTGTACCATTCCAATTTTAATATATGTGCTGCTGAAACAAGCACGTGTTTTTCTATTTCTTAATCGTTAGACAATGCCTCACTCATAGCAGGTGCTACAAATTAGCAATTGATGAATTGAATTGAATTAAATTGCTAGAGATTTTTATTTTCTGAACTTGCTCCCAGATTCTATGGGCATCTTTAATTGGTATCCCCTATACTGACTATAAGAAATATGGGCATGATTTTAGGACTCCTCCTACTATAACCAATAAGAATGATGATGATGAGTATACACCAAATTATGCCCACTTATGTTATATCAAGTCTTAGAAAGTCTTATTATTGTTGTTGTTCAGTTCTCTTAGTCATATTCAACTCTTCATGACCCCTGTATTTTGAGGTTTTCTTGGCAAAGATACTCAAGTGGTTTGCCATTTCCTTCTCCAGTTCATTTTACAGATAAGAAACTGAGGCAAACAGTTAAGTGACTTACCCAAGTTCACACAGCTAGTAAGTGTCTGAGGTCAGATTTGAATTAAGGGAGGTGAGACTTCCTAACTTAAGGCCCAGGACTTTATCCACTGGGACATCTAGCTGTCCTACAAAGTAGACTAGCATACCTTATTTCATTTAAATCCAGTGATAGTCTTTTGAGCTGGTAAAATTATCATTCTCATTGAAAAAAAATGAGGAATCCAAGGCTCACATAGATTTTGAAAAATAAAACAAAACAAAACAAAACTTCCCCAGGTCACACAGCTAATGACTATCTGAAATAGTATTCAAATTCAGACATTCCTGACTTCAAGTCCAGTTCTCCATCCACTGGAAAGTAACACTTCCCTCTAGTCATAGAAATGTTCAAGAAGGCACAAACCCTGAAGAGAGAACTTTACCTCACTCAACTTCACTTTAAAGTAATACATAACTGAAAGAGAAGGTCCTGCAGGGCTCGATACAAGGGAAATGGTAAGACCAGAGTTCTAGCCAAGTGAGTGGACTCATTTCTTTGAGGGGAGATTCCTCCAAGAGCTTCCACATTGCAGTTGTGAGGGCTTTTTCAGCTTTCCCTAACCTTACCACAAAGCTTGAAGATAATTGCTGATCTAGAAAATGACATCCCTGTGACTTACCAGCCAATTCTAAGATGAAAAGACTGCAATAATAAAATAGAAGCAGCTCTGGATTTGTCATTAGAAAACTTATATTCACATCCTCATCCTGCAGTTTACCAAATTGTTAACAATTGACAAGTCATTTAACCTGTCTCAACTTTCAATTTGCAAATGGGATTGGGTTTTTTTATTGATAGTCTTTTTTAAGCATCATCTGCATCTTTAACATATTCTCCCCTCTCCAGTACCCAGAAAGTAATATCTAATGATAAAGAATAAGAAAAGAGGGGATAGAAAGAATAGTTCAACAAAAACTAAGCAATACATCACCTGAGATAGTATATCCAGTGCTTTTGAAAATAGGAACATACATACATGTGTATATATCTATATCTATATCCATATCTATATCTATCTATACATTACCTTTTCTCTACCTCTCATCTTCATATTTTCATTGGAGAAACAAATAAACAAAATGAAACCCTTATAACAAATATGCCCAGTCTCAAGAAAAAAAATCCCACTGTAAGTAGGATGTGATGGAAAGTTGCTACAGCAAATTTTGGTTTTAAAATTTGTATACTTTTTTATGTCTTCTACATTATTGAATGTACACATAAATTGCTCTCACTGAGACAGCCATACCTTAAGACATTTTTTTTTTCAAAAGGAAAATTCAAAGTTTAGTAGCACAAGCCCAACATGTTAGACAGGTCACATATTATATGCAGCTGTCACATATGCAGTTTCTTATATCTAAAAAGAAGGAAAGGAAGTGAATTCTCATATATTTTCTTTGAGACAAGCTTGGTAATTACAATTTAAAAGCATGTACTTTGGATAATTTTACTGTTGCTCTTCCCTTTTACATTTTTTTTCAGTTATTTAATGTAGTATTTTCCTGGTTGTTCTTCACTCTGCATCAGATTGTATGTCTTGCCTTGACACTCTGTATTCATTACGTCTTTCATTTCTTACAGAGCAATAATACCACATTACATTCATGTATCCATGATTCATTTAGAAATTTCTCAAAAAGTATATATCTTTTTATTTCTAGTTCTTTGATGCTGTTATATGTTTCTGAATATAATACCCTTCTTTTTGCCATTGACATTCTTGGAGAATGTCTAGTTGCATGATTTCTGTGTCAAAGGTTTTAGAAATTTATTTCACTGTCTTAACATAATTCCAAATGAATTTCTCAGAATAACTGGACCAATTCATAGCTCCACCAATATGATATTAGTTCTGCTTAGCTTTCCTCATCCTCCCCTATATTGATTTTTGTCATTATTTTTGAATTGACATCTTACTAGGTGTGAAGTAAAACTGCTGAGCTGGTTTAATTTGTACTTTTATTATATTGTTGATTATTTGAATCTTCACATTGTTGATAAAGAAATTACTGTGCTTTTAAGAAATCTTTTTTTAAGCTTTTGACCAGTTACTCATGGGCAAATGATTTATTGTCTGATATGTTACAGTTTAGATCCCTGGCCTAAATGCCAAAGATGGTGCTTCCCAATTTGAGATTCTAATGTTTTATCAAGAAGTGGGACTGGTAGAACAGTAGAATGCAAGAGGCTCTGATTCAATCACAGTGTTTTTGCAATCTTCTGAAACTATTTCCCTCATTCTGAAGAACTACATTTCAGCATATTGTGAATAATGATTACAGAAGACAGACTTAAGACAATGCTGCTATTCTTCCTTACCTTAAATTTTCTAGTTACCGGCCACCTTCCCCAAAATACTGAAGGTAATTTGATTGTGGAATTTACATGTTTTAAACTTGGCTATCAAAAGTGTTGATGGATTAGTGTTGTTTTTTTTTTATTTTTAATTTATGAAATGAAACCAACATTTTGTAACATAAAACAATAAAAAGATGATTGTACATGAAACTGCAAATCTACTATGCACAACTTGCTATTCCTTTCAAATATACAATAAAACAATCATGTAAATTTCCATTTTTCTTTTTTTTCCCTTTACTTCCTACCCTAGAGATGGGTACTATTAGAAACAAATAGGTATTTTTTTGGTAAAATTATTCTATGCATACTTCTTTTTATCAGTTCTTTCTATGGATGCAGATAGCATCATTCTTCATATGTCCTTTATAGTTAATTTGGGTATTTAAAATAGACAAAATAACTTATTCAGTCAAAGTCTTTCTCAAAACAATATTGCTGTCACTGTATACAATGTTCTCTTGGTTCTGCTCATTTCTCCATTATTTCATGTAAGTCTTTCAATGGTTTTCTAAAATCATTGAACTCATCATTCCTTATAGCACAGTAGTATTACATCACAATCATATAAGGATTAGTGTTTTTTTTATCATCACTTCTTAGAAGTTACTCAGGCAACCGATTTTACCTGCATTTTAGGGCTAATAAGCTATTGCCATGGGTTTTTGTCATTGTTGTTGTTTTAATGTGATAGGTTATTGTTATTAAAATAACAACTGGAATTATTCCTAATAGTAATAAAAAGAATAGATTCATTAAAGTACATCTTTGCATCTTTGATATCTTACTATGACATGAAGGTGACAATGGTTTCTAAAATCTATACCAGAGAAACAAAAGTTCAGATGTGGCATACTGATCTCTAAAGTTAAAGTGTATAGTTAATAGCAAAGTGACCCTGAGTTCTAGCATCTCTAAAGGAAAGAATGCTCATCACTTGAAGATTAGCTATTAGTCATCAGGATACTCACACACAGAAATACATATGCACACATCTTTTTTTCTGTATGTATGTCTTTATCTAATCTATATCTATATCTATCTCCTGGTACCTAATGGTTAACTAGCATTTATGCATGTATACACACATAAATATATTCATATTTATATATATATATATATACACACGTATCATTTATATACATATGAGAGCTATGTTCTATGGAAAGCACAAGTATCAATTTAGAATGGTAACAGAAGAATGTACTCTACTGAAAACACTGAGAATACTCAGAATAATCAATGTGTTTTTATTATTATTAATTTTATTAGTAACAGATTTTCATAGAAAAAAAGAATGCTGGGGTTTTTTTTTATCAATAAGAACTTTTAATGGGCAATTGATATTTCCTGAAGTTCAAATCTTTCATCTTGTGCTAACCATCAGTGTGACATTGAGCAAAATGTTTAATTTCATGTGTTTTAAGTAACTTTATAGCACTTTCCTATTAAGGCATAGATCGGCTACTATCTATATTGGTGAAGATCATCCCCATACATGGAGTCCTCTATGTTGAAGAAATTGCATTTCCTACATATATTTGTGGATTAATAATCATAGTGATGGTAATACCTTCTTAATAGTTATATGTCTTATACTAACTACGTCTCTTTTCTAGGTTTTGATCCCACTCACTGTAAATTCATAGGAGTAACATTCCCCAACCCCTTTTATCCCCTATACATATTAAAATGAAAAAAAAAAACTTGCACATAAAAAGTCTGTCTTAAGATAGTTTAGATGGATAGGCAATTTTGCCCATGGAGAATGACAACATGTGACATGGGCTGCCACAATCTGAGAGTAGGGAAGGACAGAAACATTTATTAAATGCCTACTATGTGCCAGGTAGGTGGTGCAGTGGATGGATTATGGAGCCTGGAGTCAGGAAGATTCATCTTCCTGAGTTCCTATCTGGCCTCAGACACTAGGTAAGCTACTCTTATTGCAATAAAAATCTACAATAAAGAGAAACTGAGGCACAAAATTCTTAGCATTGTCAGTTTATTAGCAAGGCTAGCAATTACCAACAAATGAATTCAATCGCCCCACAGTAGTCAAAGACAAGCTGGGGTTTACAGAACTTATTTTTATAGTTGTAAAAGAGGAATAGAAAATTATGGAATCTTAAGAAGCTTGTTTGATTAATTTCTGATTGGCTAGAGCATGACGAAAGACATGGGGTCAAGCTAGGTATATCCTGGAACATTCTGAAGTTAGCTAGGTCCAACTACCAATATTCAGACTGAAGGTATGTCAGGGGCTAAGGGTGCATAGTGGGGAATTTCAGGGACACAATAATCCTCAAACAGTCTATCTGATTGGTTTAGCATTACAACAGTCAGTAGTGATATTATGGAACTATTGAGCTAGCTGGAAGGTGACTTGCAGCAAGTGTGGTTGGGAGTGCTAACTTAGCTTACCAAAGATGGAAATTTACACTTCCATAAAATGAGAAAATGTTCATGCCAGCTCAGCTCAGCTGCAGGGGCACAGCTCTGAAAAATGAGGAGGTTAGTCTCTGGTTACTGTCTTTATGTATCTCCCAATCTAAAAGCTATGTGAATTAGGACTTACAAGCTAAAATAAATCATCAGGATAATCAATACTAACTTGATTAGGATTTTTTTTTTCACCCTGGCCGAATCACTTAACCCTGTTTGCCTCAGGTTGCTCATCTGTAAAATGAGTTGGAGAAGGGAATGGCAAACCCCTCTAGTATCTCTGAGAAGAAAACCCAAAATGGTGTCATAAGGAGTTGGACATGACTGAAAAATGATTGAACAACAACAACAATGTGCCAGGCACTGTGCTTAGCACGTTAGAAATATTATCTCACTTGATCATAGAGACAATCTTGGGAGGTAGGTACTATTATTATCCCCATTTTACAGTTAAGAAATTGAGACAAAGAGAGGTTATATTACTTGCCTCGTGTCATTCAGCTTCTGTTTCTGAGGGCAAATTTGAACTCTGATCTTCCTGACTTCATGTCCAGTATTCTGTTCTATATTGCTGTATAGAAATGGATGAAATGTTGCCAGGAAAATTAAAATTGAGAAATAGGGGAAACAATAAGAAAATGTATTTATTAGATTCTTACTATGTTCCAGGAACTCTGTTAAGCATTAGAAGCACAAAGAAAAAGAAATGAAAAAAAATACCTGGTATCAGTGTGCTTAGATTAAAAATGTAGAAAAATGTACATATTTGATGCACATAAAGTAAAGAGAAGATAATCTTAGAGGGAATGGTACTAGTAGGTAAGGGCACTCAAAAAGTTCTCCTGTGTCTAGAAGGTGGTATTTGATCTGGATCTTGAAGGAAGCCAGTAATTCTAAAAGGTGGATGTGAGCAAAGAGAGTATTCTGGACATGATAGTGACCTGGAGAAGGGAGATGGAACATTGTGTTGAGTAATGGGAAAGGAATATCAAGGGGGCAGAGTAGTCAGTCAAGCAATTCATTGCATTTATTTTATTCAGTTGTTTCAGTTGTGTCCAACTCTTTATGATTCCATTCAGGGTTTTTCTTGACAAAGATACTGGAGTGGTTTGCCATTTCTTTCTCCAGCTCATTTTACAGATGAGAAAAATGAGGCAAATAGGGTTAAGTGAATTTCCCAGGGTCATACAGCTAGTTTGTCTGAAAACAAATTTGAAATCAGGTCTTCCTGACTCCTGGTTTGGCACTCTATGTACCATGTCAGCTAGTGTTTATTATGTACCCACTATGTGCTAGGCAGTGTGCTAAGCCCTGGTTCAATGTGACTGAATCATAGGATGCATGCAGGACGGTGAAGTACAAGAAGACAAGAAAGGTAGGAAGGGGTAAGTTTTGACAAGGGTTTAATAGCCAAAGGATTTTATTCCTGATGCAAGTAGAGATATGGAGCCAATTCAGTTTACTGAGCAGAGGGGTTGACAAGGTCAAAGCTATATTTTAGAAAAAAATAATTTTGCTATCTGGAGGATGTATTCACATCAAGCAGAATGTGATCAGTGAGTACTTCTTTTATAAAGAAACACAATATTACAGCATGGAGGTCATGTACCCAGTGCAAGTCCAATGCAAATTTATGTTAGTTACTGATGATATCATGCAGGCAGCAGCTGACCTTTGATGTTGCCTATGATTTCACTTTACCTGGAAAAATGGATTTAGGGGCAGTAGTAGGATTAATGCATGGGCTCTTTCTACTACCCCACACTGTCTTTTGAATGTACATTTTTTTAAAAGTCAGAATAATCACTCTGCATAAGACATCTAACTAGGTAGGCATCAGCATATGTAGGATGAGTATCTCACAGATAACAAGATAAAATCAAAGGCCTCCTGACATTTGAGGGCAATATTAAGATCCATGTGTTTAGAAATGAATCCAGAACTCCTGATACCTCAGAAATTTTCACAGAAAGAGAGATCAATAATAAGAATCTTCTTTTTATTTTCCCCCATAAAATACCTTTAAAAAAGATGGATGGTTGTCTTAACATGTAGAAATAGCCAGAAAAAGGTATATAAGGAAAAATAGATTGAAGATATTTAAAACTGTAGAAAAAATGTGCAAGCACTTCAAAAATACCTCCAGATATCCAACAAGAATCCAATTATTCAAAATTTTCCTTTTGTTTTACTTTGTTCTAGTTTAAAATATTTACTAGTGTTTGTTCTCAACTTTATCTTCCTATGACTGTCTATATCTCTATTTATGTCTCTATATATGTTTGTATATTTATCTCAATCTATGTCTATATGTTGATCTCTCTCTCTCTCTCTCTCTCTCTCTCTCTCTCTCTCTCTCATTAAAGACCAAAAGGTATAGTGTAATATAATGAAGAACTGAAGTAGGAATTCTGGGTAGTAGTTGCAATTCTTTCACTAACCAACTTGATGGATGATCTTTAGCAAGTTGCTCTCTGTTTCAGTTTCTTTTTCTGTAACAGACAGAATTCAAATAAATGATGTTTAAGAACCCTTCCATCCCCAGAACTCTATGGTATTCACACACACACACACACACACACACACACACACACACACACACACACACACCAGATTCACACACATGCACGTACATACTCATACATATGGTATTCTCTGAATTCCTTTCCAATTATATGACTCTTTAGGGATATCTTTAGAGACTTAGGTATGCCTTTATCTTTATCCAAGAGCCTTGTTACTACAATTAGCACAGTGCCTGGCACATTGTACTTACTATTTAAATACTTATTCTACTCCCCCTTAGTCATAGACTAGATAAACTCTCCCAAACATCCTAAGTAGTGAACATTGGGGGATATAGGAGGTAAGAGATATAGGTGAGGAATAGGATTGTAGATTATTAAACCTAGAAGACTGTTCGAATGGTACTTTATTTAATTCATGAATCTGTTTGGTTTTTTGTTTGTTTGTTTGTTTTTTGTCCATTTCAGGGAATGCCATCTGTAATGTAAACCTTACTTCCCACCTCTGGAATTCATGTCTCCTCTCAACACCACTGAGGTTGAGATTTCTACCTTTTTTCTAATTGGGATCCCAGGAATGGAGCATGTGCACATCTGGATATCCATTCCTATCTGCCTCATATATGTCATTGCCACAGTGGGCAACTCTACTATTCTCTTCCTCATTAAGACAGAATCTTCTCTCCATGAGCCCGTGTGTTATTTTCTCTCCATGTTGGCATTTTCAGATCTTTGCCTATCTTTCTCTTCCTTGTCAACTATGCTAAGAATCTTCTTGTTCAATGCTCCAGGACTCTCCATAGATGCTTGCATCACCCAGGAATTCTTCATCCATACATTCACTGCCATGGAGTCCGCTGTTCTTGTCATTATGTCCTTTGATCATTTTATAGCCATCTGCAACCCTCTAAGATAGCTCCATTCTCACCAATATCAGAGTAGTGCAAATTGGCTTGGGCTTTGCCATTGCCTGTTTTGCATGTATAATCCCATTCCCTATCACTCTAAAGAGACTAAGATTTTGTAAGGGAAACCTCCTCTCCCATTCTTATTGTCTCCACCAGGATATAATGATATTGGCCTGTTCTGATAACAGAGTCAATGTCATCTATGGCTTCTTTGTTGCTCTGTTAAGCATGATGAACTTAGCATTGATTTTGTTGTCCCACATAATGATCTTGAAGACTGTTTTAGGAATTGCTTCCAATCAAGAGCGATTAAAGGCCTTCAACACCTGTGTTTCCCATCTCTTTACTGTGCTCATTTTCTATGTTCCTGTTATCACCTTAGCTATTGTTCAATGTTTTGCCAAACATGGGTTACCATTAATTAGGATCCTGATTACTGCTGTCTGTCTTTTGGTTCCTCCACTGATGAACCCTATTGTGTACACTGTGAAGACTCGTCAAATCCGGGAGAAGGTCCTTGGGAAACTGTGTTTGAAGACCTGATGAGTGATTAGTAGTTTTGTTGTTTTTTTTTTTCAGAATCTCTTCTTTTTTACTCATTTGCAATCTAAAAGTTATGGTTTAAAGTTTAACCTTAACCCCAGAATGGCCAAGCCCTACAACCAGTCTCAATATCAACCTGAAATAAAGAGGATGTTCTTGTGGAAAATGATTCACAATAATTTTATTTTACTTGCTGATAGTACATAACAAGTACTCTCCTTCATAATTTTTTTTCTTTTCCTTCAGTTACTGTGGGTGCCTTATTTCTGATTCCCTCCCTAAACTTCTAGCTGTCTCTATTTTCTTGTTTTTATACATTTATGACTCTTTGTTCTAGTTTTCTTTATTACATCCACTTCATGGCTTACAATAACTTTTAGTGGTTTGATATCTCCTAATGGTTTACTGGTCTAGATGCTCACTTACCTCCTTATTCTGATCTTTATGCTTTTTGCTCCCCAGACTCCCAGAGTGTCTGCCTGACTTTGCTCTGAATATTGACTCTTCATTCAAGCATATTGTTTTGGTCCCTCAGCAATACAGTCATTGTTTTATTGAATCAGTATCTCAGATTAGAGAAGACTTCAGATGTTATTTATTGTAACATGTACTTGAGTTATAACTTCTGCAACTATTCTGAAAAGCTGTAATTAACCATCCAATTAAAGATTTCCAGTAATGAGAACTTGTTGTCAACAGAGACACTCTATTACATGTTAGATAAATTGAATTGTTAGGAATTTTTCTTTATATCAGGTTAAAGTCTCTTTCTTTCTGGAACCCATTATTCATAATTTTGCCCCCTGCGACCAGACAGTACAATCTCATCCCTTATATTAAAGGCAGTCTTTAAATACTTAAAGACAACTATCTCATTTTTGACAAGTTTTTTTTCAGGCTAAACATCCAACATTCCTTCAAATGCTAGTTTTATTGGAAAGCCTAGTTCTTTCCACATTTTGGTTGTCCTTCTTGGTGTCTATTTCTCTTTATCTATATATCTATATATATATTTTTTTTTTAGTGAAGCACTTGGAAATCAATATAGTACTCCAGTTGTAACTTGATTTCCACCAACTTTTCCTTTGATGCTGTGCTTCTAGAAGAGATGACCCTTGACAGTTCACTTATTTGGGTAACATTAGTCTGCTTCTGTGTTTTAAGAAAACAACTATTGAATTAAGTCTGCAACAATGTACTGAGAAAACAGCTGGTGAGCTATACTTGCATCAATGCTCTGAAACAACCGTTGCTCATTTGCATATGACTCTGTGAGTAAATATAAAACAAAGTCTGTTTCAGTGTATTATGCTTCAAAAAGCTCATTTGCTTATAAAATGGAATATGTTGAGGTCAATATTTGGTGAAATGAACATTGGAACTGTCTTATAATTATCAGACAGATATAAATTACCTCATTATGGCTGTCAGAAAACACGAGCATATCATAAAGTGAGGTCTCTCAAAAAAAAGCTCCTGGATGATAATCCAGTAACAAGTATATAAAATAATGCAATCATGTCGATGAGGGGCTATAACTCTCAGTTTGAACTGTCACTTAGTGTCAAGTAGATTTCGTTGGCTAAAGAGAGGTTGAAGTTGTGTGTTTACTGACTGCTTCTATGAAGGAGGAGGAAGAGAAGGAGGAGGAGGACTATGACAATGACGATGATGATGACTACAGCAAGATGACAAGGAGGAGGAAGAGATATTAGAAGGAGAAAGAAAAGGAGGAAGACCAAGAGGAAGAAGAGGAGTAGAAAAGATAAAATTTTCTTTCTGCTACCATCTGTTGCTTAGAAGAAAAGAGAAAAGTGAAGAAAAGAAGACAGAATATACTTATCTATAATCTGTTGTTGAGAGGTGGAATAAAAAAATAATTCTTCAATTTATTAGAGTTATATAGACTAAACTTTTGCTAAAATTGAGATAAGGATTACAGTCTTTTCATAAAGTGGCATTATATTACTTCAACTGGAAGAGTTATATATGAAGCTGGAGCTAAGAGATGCTACAGTTTCTGTCAAGGATCAAGACCAACCAAGGAGTGGAGCAGTTTAGACTGCATCATAAGAGAAGCAACCTAGTAGATCAACTGTTCTGATTGAGATTCCCAACACTCTCATGGACACAATGTCCATTAATGTGAGTGTGTCTCTATGGAGGTTAGTGTTTGGATGAGGGAAGCTTTGCCTCCTCCCTTCTGGAAAGGAGAAAGAACAATCTTCTCAGCTCCTGTCTATCTTTTCACATTAGCTTGGCTCCAGTTTTGACCTTTCTTCAGTTCGCTATCTCTACTTCTTTTTTACCCTCCATATTATATGCTGTAGAGTCTTAAGTCTTAGGAGGTTAGGTGACTCAATGGGTAGAACAGTGGACCTGGAGTCATGAAGACCTGAGTTCTAATCTAGCCTCATACTTACTAGCTGTGTGACCATAGGTAAGTCACTCAACCTGTCAGCTTCAGTTTTCTCATCTATAATATGGAAGTAATAATGACACCTACTTCTTAGAGTTGCTGTGAGGATCAAATGAGATAATATTTTAAAGTTCTTTAAAAAACCTTAAAGTGCAATATAAATGCTTTAAAAAATCTCATGACATTTGAATCTTTTTCTGACCTACAAAGACTACAACTACCAGTGTCTTATCACAGGGCTCTAGACTTATCAGAATAGATGATGACAGTGAGGAGATTATGGATGAGGCAACAAGATTGAATAGAGGTACTTAAAGGGTCACAATTCAGTCAAGTTATTACTCAAGGAATGCAAGAATGATGCCTTCTAGTCCTTCAGTGCTATGGGCAAGTGCAAGAGGCTATGAGGGCGTATGGTAGAATGCATAATCTAGTTGAGAGTCCAGAACTCTTGATCTGTGCTCCTGTATCTGATTGTTGTTGCTGAGTGTATTCACAAGGACCAAGTGGGAATGAACTTTTGGTGGAAATCAATTATTGGGTGGACCAGACTTCTACTCCTGCCTATTGTTCATGAGTGGATTTTGATTAGGAATGCTTGCTAACCTTGCAAATATGAACTAGATGAAGTCTGCTAAATCAAGCATGATCAGGAATTTCATTACTTGCTTAAATAAAGTTGACTAACCTCATTATTGGATACATAGGGACTTCCTAGTATGTAGGTGGGTTGATCAGTGGTCAAATATGCACTCACTTCTTTCTCTAATGCCTAGAGAAATCGAGGCAAATCTTCACAATTAAATTTTCCAATTTTACAGTGCCTTTCCAGATCAGTTTTGGTACACTCAGCATGTGTAATTATATAGAAAAGCACTTCACAAATATGAGTAATGGTAGGGGGAGAGAGTGATAGACCCACCGCCTCAAGCAATCATTCTAGTATGCCATTCAAAGCAAATATGTGTGTGTGTGTGTGTGTGTGTGTGTGTGTGTGTGTGTATCATCCATACATGCACAGCATCACAGCTATTTCATCCATTATGGCCTAAATTATATTCAGAACTCAACATATGTTTATGCCAATGCAGTATATTCTGATCCACATAGTATAAGGAAACATGCATAACAGCAAAAAAAAAAAAATGAAAGCAATTCTATCATTTAGAGGCCTACAGAACAATAAAATATAAAAACAGAAAATTAGGCCTATGTAACTGACAGCAAAACAGCATAGTTCATACACTAATAAGCCTGCAATATATGTATCATAGGAGTAAAAATAAACAAATAAAACAAGAGCATATTTAATCATGCAGTAATTAACATATATATCAATGAATATATGCATTTATATGCAAGACACCTGTGACATGGGTCTGTATAGGTTTATATTGTTTTCACCAGAGATAGACAGAAATAGGAAGATCGTTTAGATGATTGGATAATATTAGCTCTCCTGTGACCTGCTAACAATTTTGTTCTTCTACCAGTTTTAAATGATGATATGGCTGATCATAATCTCCATCAGAACTATGTTGCTGCCTTCTGAAACCTGAACCTGTAGAGTACTCAGGCTAGCCAGCACTGTTACTATACTCTATAAGTTTTGTCTATCACAGGATTTTCTAAAACAATAAGGTTAAAAAAAATGTTGCTTCTGAGTTCAGTCTTTTCCATTGTTTTTTTGTTTTTTGTTTTTTGTTTTTTTACTTTTTGGTGAGGCAATTAGGGTTAAGTGACTTGTGCCGGGTCACGCAGCTAGTAAATGTCAAGTGTCTGAGGCCAAATTTGAACTCATATCCTCTTGACTCCAAGACAGAGCTCTAGCACTGCACTGCCTGGCTGCCCCGTCTTTTCCATTATTTGAACTCATTGTTGTGGTACAATGCATGGCCTTCCTTTACAATCCCTGCTTTTGAACTGTTGTCTGAGTCAGGTAATCTTTCCATGATGAGCAGATTTTCTTTCACCCCAGTGAAGTGTCCACCAGTCTCAACTTGACCATCAGAGAGTCTGAGTCATTATTTGACAAGGAATTATCACGGTGGATTTCTTTATAGCTCCCCTAAGCCTCTAGGTCTATTGTACAAACAGATAAGTTGCCTGGTTTCTCCACAACTAAGTATGGAGTAGTTTATATCAATCTATTAAGGTATATGTTCCATGTTGTTTCTTCACCTAAATACAGAAAGGCATCAGTTTTAGCTTTTCCAATAGAGTGATACTGTTAGTATCACTGGGCAGCACTAACTTCCTCTTTGTGCCATGTGTGGGATCGGTGGTTGATGGTCTGAACAATACCCCATTGTATGGCTCCAACTTCTGCCATTGTTTTAATAGAAAAGCTATTAGAGCTTGTGCTTTAGAGTACTGGCATTTGAGTCCTTTATCATCACAACTTTGCTTCTTGGTCTATATCAATTCACACAATTTTTCATCAGCCACCTGCTTTTTTCATTAGTTATTCACATACAACTGGGTCAAGGAAGGTTGGTTCTATGACGTGAAGTCAGTCAGTCAATATACCCTTATTGAGCATCTACTATGTGTCAGACACTGTGCTAACTGCTGGAGATAC